TGGTGGTATGTATCAGGTACAATGGTTAGGTATATAACAGTGTAGTGGTATATAGCAGGTACAATATATATAGTTAGGTATATATCAGTGTGGTGGTATGTATCAGGTACAATAGTTAGGTATATAACAGTGTGGTGGTATGTATCAGGTACAATGGTTAGGTATATAACAGTGTAGTGGTATATATCAGGTACAATAGTTAGGTATATCACAATGTAGTGGTATATATCAGGTACAATAGTTAGGTATATAACAGTGTNGTGGTGGTATGTATCAGGTACAATAGTTAGGTATATAACAGTGTAGTGGTATATATCAGGTACACTAGTTAGATATATAACAGTGTTGTATCAGGTACAATAGTTAGGTATATAACAGTGAAGTGGTATGTATCAGACGCAATAGTTAGGTATATAACAGTGTAGTGATATATATCAGGTACACTAGTTAGATATATACCAGTGTTGTATCTGCTACAATAGTTAGGTATATAACACTGTGGTGGTATGTATCAGGTACAATAGGTAGGTATATAACAGTGTAGTGGTATATAGCAGGTACAATAGTTAGGTATATAAAAGTGTAGTGGTATGTATCAGACACAATAGTTAGGTATATAACAGTGTAGTGGTATATATCAGGTACAATAGTGTATGATACACAATAGTGTTGTTGTTGTACCTTCAGGATATAGTTTGATTATAATCATGTTATGGATCATATAGTATGTTACTGTAACATGGTTTATTTATACATGTACTTATTTCGGGATTTAGAAACAATTATATATATATATATATATATATATATATATATATATATATATACAAATTTNAATTGGTGATGTTATCGACAGTAGCATTACTTACCATAGCGATCAGCTGGCAGCTTGGTACCGTGACAATTCCTGATTTGTGTAAATATTCCAGCTGAGGAACTGGACAATAACGATGAGCACACCATCAATAATTACATCCCCGACGGTAATCATATGGTTTACTAGTCCACAAGTAGATGATAGTCGCCATCCTCATAAAGCTACTGTGAAAACTGTAAAAGCACTCTGATATAGTCGGAGTCAATGATAAAGTTCATATTCATTCAAGTAAGATGACACGCCATATTTCTTTTTGAAATCTGTCATGCTGTATGTATAGTGTGGGGAGGTGGAAGTACACCTATGCGCGTTAGAGCCGTGTGCGGTTTCCCAGATCTGCCTGCTACACGCCAGCGCTACTACTGCAGGATGCCATACTGGTTTCAGCCGCTGACAGAGCAGCAGTAGCGCAATGTCCTCTTCATCTAGGTTCACAGATTACAACAGATTTTAATGAAAGGGTAACACAATTTTAGGCACCTGTAGATTGGTGAAAGGCGTAGAAATGCACGTGTGTCAACTACATTCGTTTGTGCATGGTGTGGATAATCGTCAAATGAAGATCGATAGCGTCAACGCTCCGCGGCTAAACATAGCAGTGTAATAGGAGCTGGTGATGCCGTCAGTCATTGGCATTACTAAACAATTGGTGTTTGACATCCTTGTCGATAAATGATCGTTGATCTAATCTCGGTAAGATAGTGGCCAGATTACCTTCACGTAAATACTAATCGTCAGTGTTCACAAGGGAGTTCTGGGATAGCACACACATCATTGACAGCGGCAACATTCCCGTCTGTATAGGCTAGGAATGTATCCTCGACGATTGCAATGATACATTACGTAGATAACGATATGCTATTATAGGTAACGGTTTTAGGTTAAACGACCATGTGACGTAGGTTATGACTTTGTGACGTAGCGGACGTAACAACCATATGACACTGTAGACGCCAATTTTTTTAAATGTTCATTTTACCCTTCTGGTTCTTGTATTCTCTTTTCAGATTTAATTCTAGCTTCCTGCATACCTTTTTCTTGTCGATCAAACTTGTATGATTTTCATGTGTTTTATTCTTAGTAAAGACTGAGAGAGCAGCTTTGTATTCTTTGAATTTTACTTTACAAGTTTCTGAAAATCAAGGTTTATCTCCCTTATTATAGTTTATAGATATAATACAAGATGAAATCTGAACGCAATATGGTTCAACAATGGTTCTAAGTAATTCAGAAAAATCCTCGACACTTTTATTAACACTCTCCAAAGACAAATCCATATTTCTACATGTATGCATTAGACTATCGGCATTATCATTGATCATTGTTTTAATTAACTCAAAATGTTCCTGATTCCATCGCGTAGACTAAAACAGTTTTATCACCATGTATATTTTCTCCTATAATCATAATCTCTACCGCAAACACAATAGGCGAATGGTCTGAAAAATGATTGAACTCTCAACTTTTAGAATTTCCTATAATTTCGAAATTTGACTCATCAACAAGAACATAATCGATTAACCTGGTTCCCAAACTATTATAAAATGCGATACTGCATTTATCGTCGCCCGGATCAGGTATTGGCGATATTTCGAGCTGCCGTCCATATTAGCATGTTTTGTACTTTATCTATATTTATCTCTTCGACTTTCAAAACTCTAAACAAACTCATTTCATAGATTTTTATTTTCACCTGTTATTTTCCAATTTTCTTTTTTTAAGGTTTAAGGGGATACATTTTTTTATTGAAATATTCTGATTTGCAAACCATTCTGTTACAAAGTGATCGTGACGTTACATGCTGGGCAGTCGTAGCAATTGTAATGAAGACTGTCATCAGATGATTAAAAGACGCATATTTCTTTTCTCGTTTTTTTTCTCACATGAACTGGACAACAAAATTAATGTTTTTTGAATAATTTAAGATCATGCATGATGGACATCTCAGAAGTTCAATCGATCTAGCAACACTTGTTTACATTAATGTCAAAAACATCTTTTATTGATCTGTTGGGTTGCCTCAAGAAATTAGAAGAAGGTTACAAATCAGTGGATGTATGGAGTCAAAAATATTATTTAGCATTAAGTACAATAAAATAAAAAGTTGATTTACACAGTTTTTTAGATGAGTGTTTGTCAATACATGTATTCAAAAGAATCAAAGGTCTTACTCCAGAGTTGATGCTTAAATTTTAACAGTGAAACATTGTATGTAAATATACAATTAGGAAATGATTACATTACGCAGTAAATATTGAAGATATTCTACCTTGTCTTCAGTTTTAAAAGACAAAGATCATTTAAAGACACGAAAGTACAGAGGAATTGTTAAGTTTTAAAGGACAGTCGAATATCCAATAATAAATACATTTATAAAAAGAATTTTGACCTAGGCCTTATTTTGGGGTTCCTCTTGAAACTACATGTATTTATACTTGCACATGTCAGTTATTTGCCGAAATATCTTCCTATCCATAATTATACTGAATTGTTTGAATGCCGCATTTCCACTGTTTTACATTCAATTATTCTGATGCCAATAGTGATTTTACTAAAACATATACACACAATTACTGTAAGAGAATCTACTGCATATTTTTCCTCTAAAATAATTTGGTAAAGTGAAGAAGCAGATGGCACAGCAAAAGGTGACTTTAAAAAATAAATCATGTTCTTAAAAATCAGGTAACGGAAAACTATGACAATAATCCGAGATGAAAATTCAGAAGAAAAAAAAATCTTTTTGTGTTTGTTAAGGAGACATTGTTAAGGAGACAATTTACATGATATCTATAAAAGTCAATAGACCCATTCATTTCAGCTTTTCTCCAATTAAATCTGACGTATTCGGGACTTAAAACTTTGCAAAATTGTTTCGGAATATTCATCATGCAAATTACAGGATTGTGTTCAGAAACATTTAACTCATGATCATCTAAAACTTCACAATGTTTAACCAAATCGAAACAACTTGAGTCAATAATAATATGGTCGACAGTAGTGAAATATCCCGTTGTTGGATAATACGTATACATTGGACCTTTGCATTTATCCGTCACATTAACAGATGCCATATTTGTAATATTAAAAAAAGCTTTCCCGTCAACTGCAGAGAATTGTGAAATTAACTTGGAATTACTACAACACTTGGGCCAAAACACTTCACCAATAATATGTGTAACAGTGTACAGACAACCGGGTGAATTAGTTGATTGATATGACCAGTTTGACTAAATTATGAAGAAACTATCTACGGAGAACAACAATTTAGTATGGTACTGTGTGATTTTAATGTAGATGAACTTACATGTAAATTCTCTAGACTGAAAGACTTGATGATATTACAAAATTTACACCAACAAATCACTACACCTACGCGTGTTACTAAAGAATCGAGTACTCTCATAGACCGTATCTTCACTTACGCGTGTTAGTAAAGACTCGAGTACCCTAATAGACCGTATCTACATTTACGCGTGTTACTAAATACTCGAGTACCCTCATAGTCCATAACTATACCTACGCGTGTTACTAAAGGCTCGAGTACTCTCATAGAACGTATCTACACCTACGAGTGTTACTAAAGACTCGCGCACTCTCATAGACCGTATCTACATTTACGCGTGTTACTAAATACTCGAGTACCCTCATAGTCCATAACTATACCTACGCGTGTTACTAAATACTCGAGTACCCTCATAGACCATATCTATACCTACGCGTGTTACTAAAGACTCGAGTACCCTCATAGACCATATCTATATCTCGGACTCTATTTGGTATGTTGAGTCAGGTGTTATTCTGTTGGGTTGTAGTGACCATTGTGTACGCTATTCGTAAGCTTGGGTGAGGTTCCTTTAACCGCAAATTTGGTTAATATCAATTTCAAAAGGAGTTTTTCCTTCTGAGTGGAAAAAGGCCAAGGTCACACCTACTATTTAAGCAGTTGACTCTACCCTAGTTAACAATTATAGACCTGTCACTGTATGATGTGTCCTCGGTAAGATCTTAGAAAAGCATGTACATAATACATATTTTATGATTTTCTTTCACACAACAAATTGGTTAGTGATTACCAATTTGGATTTCGTCCAAATCATTCTACTGATACAGCTCTAGTACATATTGTAGACAAATGGCTAACAAATATTGATGAAGGTTCACTAACTGGTGCTGTTTTATCGACCTTGCAAGACATTCGACACTGTTAATCATGCTGTTCTTTTACATAAACTTAAAGCTTACGCTGTATCAACTCTTTCGTTAAAATTCTTTGCTTTTTACCTATCAAACAGATCACATGCTTTAAGTTGTGGTCATGAAATATCTGTTTTTTTAACCTATCAATAGTGGTGTACCGCAAGGCTCTATACTGCGGTCTCTGCTTTTCATTTTAAAAATTAATGACTACCCTAAATGTCTAAAACATTCTACTGTAGTAACGCATGCAGATGACACAAAGTGTTGGGAACAAAACAGCAGAGATTTTAGAAAAAACAAATGATAGAAGACTTAGAATGTACAATTCAGTGGATGAGAGAAAACAAACTTAGTCTTAATCTGAACAAAACTCAGTGCATGTTGATTGGATCGTCTCAAAAGTTATCTAAATATCGTGAGCTGAACATTACTATTGATAACTTAATTATAGAAACTGTCAATTGTGCAAAACTCCTTGGTGTTTTTGTCCGCTGTTGTCTTTCTTGGAAAGGCCACATTGTTTGCATATCAAAGAAAGTTTCGAAAAAGATTGGTGTTCTGAAAAGGTTACGACCTTTCTTGTCTATTGATGTTCTCAGTAAAGTTTATCAAAGTATAGTTTTCTCACATTTTATCTATTGTTCTGTAGTCTAGTGTGAGGCTGATAACAAACCATATATTCATAAAATCTCAAAACTTCAGAAAAGGGCAGCTAAAGTTTTATTAAATATAAGAGACGTTTTTACCCCTTCCATTTTGCTTTAAAAATAAATAAAGTGGCTGCTAATAAAAGATTTATTTTTATTTTATGAAAGCAGTTCTTGCTTACAAAATTTTACATGGGGATACTCCAAGTGTTTTGAGTAATATGTTTAGCAATGTCAAGGATATCAGTTTTAGAAATACAAGGTCATCAGTTTCCAACAAGTTTTATATTCCCACTGCTAGAACTAATTATTTTAAACATTCATTTGTGTACACAAGTTCTGTTTTATTGAATGGACTGAATGGAAATATTAGAAATGCGTGTAGTGTTGCTGCTTTTAAACGCAAATACCTACAGGATTTCTTCTCAAAACTTTAGTTTAGTACTTACTTTATGATATAACAATATACTTTTTGAATAAGTATTGTATTTGTGTTTAATATACATGTATTTTAATCTGCAAATGTCTTTCATGCAGCTTATATGTATTTTTCTGTGATATCTGTAAATATATCGATGCAGGGCTATATTGTAAATTAGACATGTCTAAATATGTATCCCTGGATAAATAAAAGATATAATTATCATTGATGTAGGTTACGTACTGTATGTCACTTTTATAAGATATATGATTTACTTCGGAATAATATGACAAAGGTCTGTGACATAAATTACGATTAAGTGACCTAGATTACGATTAAGTGACATACATTACGGTTGATTGGTATAGATTACGATTAAGTGATCTAGATTGCGATTTAGTGACCTAGATTACGGGTAGATGACATAGATTACGATTAAGTGACAAAGACTATATAATGTGACGTAAGCTTAGCTCGGATTACCTTGATTTCTAGGAGATTACGTCCTTATAATGCTGCGATTAACATTTT